ATTTGAACGACAAAATGATAATTTGATTTTTAATCAAAAAATAAATTTAAACGAATCTTTATGTGGATTTCAACGTTATATAAAACATTTAGATGGTCGAATTATTCTTTTTGAACATTTTAGTGGTAGTCCAATTACTTCAGGTTTGATAAATACAATGATGAATTAGAAAATAGATTTTTATTTTTATTTTTAAAGGTACCTATCGATGTTTGAAAGGAGAAGGAATGATGAATGAAAAAACACGTGAATTCGGAGATTTACTCATTTATTTTCATGTTGAATTTCCGACAGAAAATTCTCTAGTTAATTCGACGTCTGTTGATGTACGTACCATTATGAGATGATTTTAGATTATTTTAAATGATATAATTTTGTTTTTTTTAGCATTTTGAACAAATTCATCCACGAAAAAAAAATAATGAATTACTTAATGAGGAAAATATTGAAAAATGTCAACTGTCAGATTATGATTATTTTAGTTCTCAGAATGAACAAGAATATCAACATCAACATTCAGGTTTTGCCAGTTTTTTCCATTGATAATATATAATTTTGCTCAACTCTTTGTGCTTTTATCCGTGTGTATGATTCTTTCTCAGTACAAAAATCAGTAATTTTCTTCTTGCATTTTAAACACTAGTCAGATAATTCGGTGTAAGTTTGTTGTCATTTTTTACCTCTTTTACTGCAATGTGACGTTTTTTCAAATTTCAAAAATCCTTATAAAGATGAGTATAACTTAGATAAAGTCTTCTTTTTTTTTTATTATTACTAGTTGCTTGTACCTCATTTCTTGTCTAAGTAATATCCAGTTGCAGGTGAAGTATATGCTCATTCAAAAGTAGACTTTTTACGGCTTGAGGCTAACCAATGTTTCGAAGTTAGTAATTCAACATTCCCAAACGGTTATTTATATTTTATATTGTCCTCTCACATATATGAATATATCGCTCATTGTAAAAGGTTTAAATGTTTTAAAAGGTTTCTTCTGTCGTTTCCTACTTAAGATAAAACTATTATATTCTACATTAGTCATGAAAAATATGAAATTTTATGATATTTTTGGTATTACGACTTGTGCTAAAACTGAACAAATTGTCAAAGTATGTTAAACTACGTTCGCATACGCATGTCAGCATATTTGAATTTTGTTTTTTGAAATTCTGATTGAAGTTGTTATATGGTAACGACGTGAAACATCACAATCGAATTTATAAGATACAAAATTGAGATGAACTGAGATGTGTGACTAAACGGGACTTTACAATAATACAATCTGATCTTTTTCATTGGTTAACTCGTGTGCATTCATTTTTTTATTTTTCATAGAGAAGTTCATTAACTTTGATTGAATTATCATTTACAGGAATGCTTCCAGAAGAAATTTTATATTAAAGTAAATGAAGCAAATAGTCAACGAGAATATGGGCCATCAAAAACCAAAGATGTTCAAGTTTCACTCAAGTGAGTGGCGTCTTTATTTAAACGGGAAAATAAGCAATTTTCGATCGAATTAAGATCGTTCATGAAATTAAGCCAAAATCTTTTTTCATGTGATTCTTGGAGTCCAAAAGATTTATGTGTAGGGAAAACGCCCCCTGAGTAAAAGAATACAGTAGAAGTTTTTACAAAAATGTTGGAATCAGCGGGGATACTATGGATGTCTTTCATTAAATAATTCAAAAGTTTTGCTTTTTCACTGTACAACAAAAAGCAAAACGTTTTCATATTACCTCTGCGATGATTTTGAGAGCAATTGACCCCCATCCAAAAATCTGAAGATAGCACCGTCCCTGAGTTTTTACTGTACATATAGAAGCAAAGTATAATATAAAAAAATGGAGAAACGGTAAGTAAGTTTAACAATATCGCAATGAGAAGGAATAGTGAACAGAAGTAGGAAGAAAACATCAATTTTTTGATTTGTGATGAAAGTACCATTAGAATTATTGACTAGACTTATTCAAGTTGTGTATAGTATACCACGTGTTTTTCCTCGACCATTCAGCTCGCTTATCATGCATCAACACTATTATATCAATTGATTTGTCTTCTTTTTTTTGTTCTTAGCTTGCTGGATAAACCGATGATGTCATAACTACTACATGATATATTTGAAGGTGATGATAATAATTTATCAATAAATATGAAAATCAATCTTTTAGAATGTCTTTGCGATTTTCGAATTACTATAACCTATTTGAACGAACGTATATTTATTTTAATACATCCATCGTATTATCTAACTGCATCAGATTCGTATCCGATATTTGAAAAATTAAAGCATGATCAATATTATATACTTTTAAAAATGATCCAGTTATTACTAGTCAGGTATAAATTTGTAGTTAGATACATATTAACAGACGTTTTAGTCTTCACAATGGCCGCTAACTAAATCATGCATAATCTATATTTAGTAGTACCTTCAAACCTGATTGTATTGTTTTTTTATCATTTAGCATCTTGAATTCTTGATACTTTCACCAAAAAAACTGTTTGACATGCTATAAATTGTCAATATTGACTGTCTTCGAATGCTCGATTACGTTTCATCACTAAATGCTTTATTCAACGAAACCGAATGTTTTGGAAGAAGAAGCAGATGATGGTGATGATGAAGATTTAAATCATAGTCCCAAAGTCATTCCATGTATATTTTCATTATTCAGATTAAATAGACAATTTTATTTTATTTCTACTGTTATTATTCATTTCTCTCTTCGATTAATGTTGAACTAGTCCGAATAATTGAAGTCATGTTGATACTGATAGTGTGTACTTTTGCTCAATTTTTTGATTTTTACACGAACAGTTAACCAATACGTCAATAGATTTTTTCAATCTATTTTTATACAATGATCTCTTATTTTGTTTTATTTTTCAATACATTTCTTTTTTTTTTGTTGTATTAAACAAAACAAGTTTGCGAATTCTCAGGGATTGTATAGTAAAAAACATCCACATTTTTTCAAAAAACAACTTTTGTGTAACTGTTGACCAAAGTCTTCATTTGTTACTTTCTTTATGGTTGATGACAAACATGTGAGTCACTAAAGCCATGTTAAATCTGTTGCGAAAAAAATACAATTTGTATTAACGTCAAATGTTAGTGCATTGGGTGTACGTACTACTCAAAATATTCTTTCTGTATGTGACTCTTTCAACAATCCATTTTTATCTGTTTATCATGTCGAACTGTCATCAGTTGATGTTATTATTCTTTTTTATAGATTGATAATTATCATCCAAAAATTTCTAATAAGTTGATAAAATGCCGGATTCCAAATGATATGATATACTCGGAATATCCAGAAATGCAACAGAGAATGAAATAAAAAAAGTAAGTATGTTCAAAAAAGTAAATGTGTTGTTAATAATGATTACTTCGATTCTTTAGGCCTATCATAAAGCTGCTAAGATACATCATCCAGACAAAAATCCAGCTGATACTGAAAAGGTAAAAGACAATTTAATAATACTTTAGTCATTTGATCTATTTCTATCTCTTGATGTTTAAGTTCAAAGAAATTAGTTTTGCCTACGATGTTTTATCAGATCCAAACAAAAAACGTATATATGATATGTACGGATTAGAAGGTCTGAAAGAAGGTGGTGGAGGTGGCGGTAGTAAGTATTTTTTTGCTTTATTTTGAGTATCGATAATTAAAATGAATTTTTGTCTATTTTTAGGTAATTTTACTGATATTCTCAGTTCATTGTTTGATTTTCCTGGTGATAGTGGACATGGTTCACCGTTCGGTAATATTTTTGGTGGCAGTATGTTTGGCGGCGGTGGTGGTGGTGGTAGAAGACAAAATCGAAAACGTCGAGGAGAAGATGTTGCTCATCCATTAAAAGTGACACTCGAACAAATGTATAATGGTGATACGAGAACTCTTGAAATCAATCGAAAAGTCATTTGTAGTCAATGCAATGGGTAAGGATGTTTAAAATGCGTAACTCTGATTCTGTACAAAAATCGTACTCGTCATATAATTTTATCAATCTCTTTTTTTTTTAAAGTTGAATTAACTTTTTTTGAAAATAAGTTAAGTTAACGACCTTGCAAATGGCAAAATTTGTCGACTGTGTCACATCTTCTTTCATTTTTTTATTTAGAGCTGGCGGACGTGAAGGTGCTAAACAATCTTGTACAACTTGTCGAGGACATGGTATTCAGTTTATTACGAGGCAAATAGGACCAAATATGATGCAACGTATGCAACAAATTTGTAAAGATTGTAGTGGTGAAGGAGAAATAATTAATGAAAAAGATCGTTGTAAAATGTGTAATGGAAAAAAAGTTGTGGATCAAAAGAAAAAATTAGAGATTGTTATTTCACCGGGTAGTAAACATGACCAACAAATACCATTTCCTGGGGAAAGTGATCAAGCGGTATGATTTCATTTTCATTTTCTTGAACCAACTATTCAAACAATCGTCTCTTCTAGCCTAATACGGAGCCTGGCGATGTGATAATCGTCTTACAACAAGAACCACACGCACAATTTCAACGTAGTGGCGATAATTTAATTATGAAACATAAAATTAATCTTGCCGAATCACTATGTGGATTTCAATTGATAATAACACATTTAGATGGACGAAAAATTGTAATAAAACATCCACCTAATAATCCTATTGCACCTGGTTCGTTTATAAATGTATAAATATTCTTCTCATAGAAAATGAGTTATGTTCTTTTTCTGATCTGTTTTAGATACATATCGGTGTGTGAAAGGTCAAGGAATGATTAATATGAGAACACATGATATGGGAGATTTAATTATACAATTTGATGTTGAATTTCCACATGAAAAATTTTTAACGGATTCTGCAGCACTTAAAGTAAGTCAATTAAACAAGAGTCAAAATTAGAAAATTTAACTTGAAGAATAATGACTCTTATTGTTGTTTGTTTTCTGTTTAGCAACTTGAATCTATTCTTCCAACAAAAGCGAAAGTTGTCATTCCTGAAGGTGAACATGTTGAAGAAGCTCATATGATCGATTTTCATTCAACAAAATCTGCCCATGAAGGAGGTAATCGCAGTGGTGGACGTGAAGCTTATGAAGGTGATTCAGATGAAGAAGGTATGCACGGTCCTGGTGTACATACATGCAAGTCTCAATAAGAAGACAATAAGAGTAATTTGGGCGATATACGAACAAAAACAGTAACAACAAGATATTTTTTTTTTCATTGAATTCTTTTCAAACCATTTTTTTCTGCTTTTTTCTCATCCTAATTAGGAAAGGGTTAGAACAACAAATATCTATTCAAGAAAAGTGACATCTTTTTTTATTTGTTTATACAAATCAGTCTATAAAAGTAAATAAATATGAAAAACATTGCATTTTATTTGTGCATTCTTCATTGCTCGAACTTCTTTATTATTTTTTTTCGTCATCTAAATGTGTTATTATCAATTGAAATCCACATAGTGATTCGGCAAGATTAATTTTATGTTTCATAATTAAATTATCGCCACTACGTTGAAATT